GTCGGGGGGCTCGCCGCAGAAGTTCAAGTGGGAGGCGGCGCGGGTCAGCGTCATGCCGCCGTGGCTCTTGGGAGGAGGAGGGAGGGAGGGTAGGGAGGGAGGAGGGGAGGGAGAGAGGGAGGGAGGGAGGGAGAGAGGGAGGGAGGAGAGAGAGGGAGGGAGGGAGGGAGGGAGGGAGGGAGGGAGGAGAGAGAGAGTGAGGGAGGGCGAAAGTGAGGGAGGGAGGGAGGAGGAGGAGGAAGAGGAGGAGGAGAAGGAGGAGACACGGAGGGAGGGAGAGAGGGAGGAGGGACGAGGACGAGAAGGGTGATAGAGCGAGGGATGGATGGAGTGAGGGAGGGAGGTGGGAGGGAGGGACGGAGGGAAGGACCCTGGGATCAGGGAGTATTAATCGGCTTCACGCCAGGGTTTTTCGCTCAGCGGGGCCGAGCGGTCCTCGCTGCTCGATCCGGCTCGAGGAATGCCGCAGAAAGCTGGGGACGTGCAGGGTGGGGACAGGGCAGGCTAGGTGCTAGGTGCGCTTGCGTCATATCTGACATCGTACCCCTCCCTCCCATCCCTTACCATGGCGTAGATATCCAGTCGCATGTCGAGCAGGGCAATGATCGCGAGAGGGTGCGCGATGCATGGTAGAGCACGGCGTGGCATGGCGTAGAAGAGCACGGCAGAGCGTAGCATGCCATAGCATGGCGTGGCATTGCGCAGTGAAGCACTGCATCACAAAGCGTTGCAACGCAAAGCATGGTATCGCACAGTGGCGCAGAACACAAGACCGCAAAGTATGCCATAGCATGGCGCCAGGTTCCTTGGAGGGTAAAGTGGATCGTCTTCGAGATGTCTGGGCCGGTCTGGAGTCATGGCTCCATGTCTGGCTCCTTGGGCTCCCCGAAGAGATCCACACAAGGCGAGGCTGATGGAGAGCACCCGCTGGCTCTGGTTTCAACATCGCCTTCTCAAAACAGAAGCTGGGCTCCCGCTTGACACGTCCTGCAAACGACGACGCCCCAAAGTGTGTGGGGTTCTGCTGCCTAAAAGATCAACGATTCGGCACCGAATGTGTAATCACTTCTGATGCTTTTTTCGGGGGGGGGGGGGGGGGGCATTTTTAGATTTTGCAGCCCATTTGGAAGGACCGAAAATGCCCGCGCTGCAGCGGGAGAACGATTCGGAACAACCAGGGACGCAGAAATGGGGCCAGCGCTTCAGTGGGAGCAACAGAAAAAACAAAAACCGAGCGAAAACCCATTTCCCAGGAATCCTGGTGTAAAAAATTACGCGGAGGGGGGCCAGACATCTTCCGGACGTCTTCAGGGGAGCGAGGAGAGTAGTGTGTAATTGTGGAGGAGAGGGAAGGCTTCTTAGAAGGAGGCTGCTTCTTAGAAGGCGCGGGCCTTGTCTGTACACGTAAGGACCGCGACTTCTCAGAAGCAGCCTCCTTCAAAGAAGCTTTCCCTCCTCCCCCTGACCCCTTTGATGCGCACCGCCAGAGAAAGACGGGGACTGGAGGACTTCGCGGTCTGACCCGCCGTGGCGGCGAGGTCTCAGCCAGAAGGCCCCAAAGACAGCAATTCGAGGCGGGGGTTTACTGATATCCACCGCCTGGGGGATTCATCTTCGGGGACCTCGGCGGGCGGTGGGTATGGATGTATACGGGCCCCAGACGTTCCAAATACGAAGTTCTCAACATGTCGCGTATGCCCACCAGCCCATTCACAAACCCAGCCTATGAGAGTTGGCGGGAAAAAAACGAAAAGGCATATAAAGTGAAACGAAGCGGGCAAGTAGGTTGAACAGAGATATCTGGAGCAAGGGGGTAGCCCTGGAGGGCCTCTTCGAGCCATCCCTGGGACCCACGTGGGAGCGAGGGAAGGAGGAAGAGGATGATGAGGAGGAAGACGACGACGACGACGACGACGACGACGACGACGACGACGAGGAGAAGGAGTCGCCTCTTGGAGCCCTCTTGGGGCTCTTTTCGGGAATATTGGGGTCCTCTTGGGCCTTTTTGGGGTGTCTTGGGGTACTCTTGGGGCCTTCTTGGGGCTCTCTTGGGGTCCCGGGAGCCTCTTGGGGCTATCGTGGAGGGTGTACGTGCAAAGAGAAGCCCCCACTCGGGGGCCCTCGAAGTTGGCCCTCTTGGGGCCCTCTTGGGGCGTTCTTGGGCGCTCTTGGGGCTGCCTTGGGGGCCTCTTGGGGAACCCTAGAGGGCTTCTTGGAACTATCGTGGAGGGCGTGGGTGAAACGAGAGGGGTCGTAACGTTTGGTCCCCCCTCAGGGGCTCTCGAAATCGCCCTTGGGGCCCTCTTGGGGCGCTCTTGGGGCGATCTTGGGTGCTCGTGGGGCCGTCTTGGGGGCCTTTAGGGCTCACCTTGGGACTCTCTTGGGCCATCTTGGGGTCATCTTCAGGCCTCAAAGCGCATCGGAAGCGAAAAGGCAAGAAGGCCAACATCATTGACTGCCTTAAGTGTTTGAAGGATTTGGGCCTCAGGGGGGGGTCTTCATGGGGGCTCCGAGAGCACTTGGAGCCGTCTTGCGGCCCTCGCCGGGCCTCTTGGAGGCATGTCGGAAGCTATCTTGAACAATCTCAGGCTATCTTAAGCCGCCTTGGAGGTCACCTTGGAGCATAGGAGGCCCTCTTGGAGATATCTTGGGCAAACAAGAACCCTGTGACACTTCTCGACCCCCCAGGCAAAGAAAGAACCCTCAGCGAGGGGAGTGGGAGGGTACCCCTCCCCAAAGGGAGGAGGATTTTGGGAGGAGGACAGAAATATCGCTAGACCGCCTTAGCCCAAATGGCTGGTGGTATAGATCACCACCGCCCCCTGGGGTCTCACGACATCAGTGCCCCAGGCGGTGGATATGGATAAATCCCCGCCTCGCAAACAAACATCGAAGCTCCCCCCTACTCCTCGCTCCTTCTCCTCATGCGTCGCGAGAAGAAAGCACACGTCTTGAGACAGCACGACTGGGGCACCCGACAAGTTCTTGCTGCGGCATTGGTCGATCCGTGAGGGTCCAGGGTTTCAAATCGACGCAAACACGCCTGTCGTGCTTCTTTTCCACGGCGCACGGATCTCACAGTGGGCCCAGAACCATGACGTCGTGTTTTTTGGGCACCCTATCTCCTTGGACCGTTTTCTCATCCCGATATTTTTTGGGGGGTCCCGGGTCCCAGTGAGGCCCCGACGCGCTTGGTTTTTTTTTCATCGCGAGGGGTCTTGTTCCTTCCGCCCAGGCGGACCCCGTGCGCTAATCGTGGCAAAACGCTGGTTGTCTTAGGCCGGCACGCCGATTTGATAGCGGATGGGCCGGCACGCTGATTTGACAACGGATGGGGCGGCACGCCAGTGGGGGGCACAAATGTGAGAGGGCATCCTGGCCGGCACGTTGCCAGAAAGCTGGATACACATGACGTGGCCGGCCTGGACGAGAGTTGGAGACACACGTGGCGGCCCTCGGCCCTCGTGTGGCCAGGCACGGTGATCCTCCACGTGCGTATCCAGCAAGTGACCTCCAGCTGTTCCACATCTGAATCCAGCCACGTTTGTTTCCGGTTCCCTGGTGTCACAAGCAGTGGCCCAGAATCTTGCGCACGGTGGGCCAAACACTTCTGTGACCTTCAAGAGTGTGTGTGTGTGCGTGTGTGTGTGTGTGGCGCCCTGGCTGCTACCCCCCCAGATGCTTCCCCGCCGCTGCTGCCGGCCCCCGGCCCCGCCCCCCCCCCCGCCGCCGCCCGGCGGGGCTCTGAGCGGGCCCGGCCTCTTCTCCCTCCCCGCCCGCGCCGGGCTTTCCTCCCCCCCCACGCGCATCGCGGCCTCATTCGGATTGTATGCCCTACATATGCTCTTTCCGCCAGCGCAGTCACTCTGCCTAGCCGCCGACGCAAAAAGGTTGGTGTGCATGTGTTTTTGACCACGGCGCCCAGAGCTCAGAGCCCGCCGCCGGCCGTGTGCCTCTCGGCCCCATCGAGTACCAGCGGGTCTCGCCTCGTGTCTTGAGTGTGCAGGACGCCCCGAGGAGAGTCGGCCACCCGCAGAAAAGGGGTAGGGGGAGGGGGAGAGGCTTCTCAGAAGCACCCTGCTTCTTGGAAGGCGCGAGCCCTGTTATAGACGTAAAGCCGGCGCCGAAGCTGCCTCTTTCTAGGAAGCCTTCCTCCCTCCCCTTCTCTGCGCGACGCCAAGGGAGGCCAGGCCTCAAGCCGCCGTCGGTCGGCCCGAGCCCGACGCGCGTTGTCGATGATCAGTGAGAGACAAGCCGGCCGCCGGCCAAGGCGGAGTCCTCGATTGACTCCGTGCCGCTGCACTCCCTGAGGCACCCGCCCTTCGAGAGGAAGGCCCACTCGCCAGAGAGGTTCCGAACCCTCTCGAACAAGTCCCTCGACGCTGCGGCCGAGGCAGCGTCCACGCCGCCGCTCATGGACGCCCGTCGCCGCCGCCGCAGTTGCTTCGATTTGCGCTGCAATGTGAGTCCGAGGGGGGGTGAGACAGATGGTAGTTGGCCTTCGGGGGGGGGGCTCTCGTCGCCAGGGCTGGAGGCAGCTCAGAAAATTAGTTCGTTGGATCCCGGGAGGGCTCCTGGGACCGATTTCGAGCTGCCGCTGCTCGACTCGCCGTGCTCAGAGTTAGAGCCGTGGGGGCCCTTGCCGGGCGAGACCTCTGGGAGTCACTGATGCGAGAAGATCACGACGATCTTGGTTTGGGGAGGCAGGTGATGATGCGGGATGGAGGAGGGAGGGGACGGAAGGATTCAGGAAGATGCAAGGACTTCCCGGGGCGTTGCACACTACAGACCTGGTTGACTTTCCTGTGTCGTTCACCCAAGCAGTGGCGAGGCGTCCAGGCTCGCTGATAGGCCCACCAAATAATGTTCTAATCACTTCTTGTGGTTTGCACGAAATGTTCTTAGGACATTTCTGGCTGAGACTGTTGTGTTCGAATGCATCGGTATTTTATGTTCTAAGAACATTGCTGTTGTTGTTCCCAACCATCTTGTGGTGGTGGGTCTTCGTTTTGAAGAGACAGCGCCCCGTGTCTCACTCCTTCCTCCCGCTGCCCCCTCCCTCCTCCCATCCTCCCCCTCCTCCTCTCCTCCCCCACTTTGGCACACCCCTCACACGTGTCGTGGCCCCATAGGGAGCTCCACCGAAGGCCCGCGTGGCTGCGCTCGCATGGCAGCGCCGCTCCCATTTCGGCACACCCCTCACACGTTTCGTGGCCCCATAGGGAGTTCCACCGAAGGCCCGAGTGGGTGAGCTCGCATGGCAGCGCCGCGCCCATTTCGGCACACCCCTCACACGCTTCGTGGCCCCATAGTGAGCTCCACCGAAGGCCCACGTGGCTGCGCTCGCATGGCAGAGCCGCGCCAATTTTGGCACACCCCTCACACGTTTCGTGGCCCCCTCGGGAGCTCCACCGAAGGCCCCAGTGGCTGCGCTCGCATGGCACTGCCACACCCATTTCGGCACACCCCTCACACGCTCCGTGGCCGCATAGGGAGCTCCACCGAAGGCCCCAGTGGCTGCGCTCGCATGGCACCGCCACGCCCATTTCGGCACACCCCTCACACGCTTCGTGGCCCCCTAGGGAGCTCCACCGAAGGCCCCAGTGGTTGCGCTTGCATGGCACCGCCACACCCATTTCGGCACACCCGTCACACGCTTCGTGGCCCCATAGGGAGCTCCACCGAAGGCCCCACTGGCTGCGCTCGCACGGTACAGCCACACCCATGTTGGCACAGCCCTCACACGCTTCGTGGCCCCAAAGGGAGCTCCACCGAAGGCCCCAGTGGCTGCGCTCGCATGGCACCGCCACGCCGATTTCGGCACACCCCTCACACGCTTCGTGGCCCCATAGGGAGCTCCACCGAAGGCCCCAGTGGCTGCGCTCGCATGGCACCGCCACGCCGATTTCGGCACACCCCTCACACGTTTCGTGGCCCCATAGGGAGCTCCTCCGAAGGCCCCAGTGGCTGCGCTCGCATGGCACCGCCACACCCATTTCGGCACACCCCTCACACGTTTCGTGGCCCCATAGGGAGCTCCTCCGAAGGCCCCAGTGGCTGCGCTCGCATGGCACCGCCACACCCATTTTGGCACACCCCTCACACGCTTCGTGGCCCCATAGGGAGCTCCTCCGAAGGCCCCAGTGGCTGCGCTCGCATGGCACCGCCACGCCCATTTCGGCACACCCCTCACACGCTTCGTGGCCCCATAGGGAGATCCACCGAAGGCCCCAGTGGCTGCGCTCGCACGGTACAGCCACACCCATGTTGGCACAGCCCTCACACGCTTCGTGGCCCCAAAGGGAGCTCCACCGAAGGCCCCAGTGGCTGCGCTCGCATGGCACCGCCGCACCCATGTCGGCACACCCCTCACACGTTTCGTGGCCCGATGGGGAGTTCCACCGAAGACGATTCCAACAATTGCGTTATCCCCAACTGCATGTGGTTGGGTCCTTCGCCAGGATAAGTTTATATGTTTTGTCAAGGAGAGTCCGTGGTAGGCCTATAGGAATGCCGGGACGGGCGGTCCCTGCTCCATTCACGCACCAGTCTTTTGGCAAGAGGCGAACACCCAGCATCACGCTTCTATGTGTACCGAGGACGCCTACGGGGATCCGCCGTCGTCCCCTTGCCTTGCTGGAAATGCCTATGGGGCAATACGGATGGCCGAAGTCTTGCCATGCTATTGGGCTACGTGGTGCTCCCCAAGCCGTTGTAGAAGCCCATGGGGGGACACTTCGGAGAGGACGAGAGGGAGGAGAAGGAGGAGGAAGGATGAGGTTGAGAGGGAGGAAGAGAAGCAGGAGGAGGGGAGGGAGAAGGAGGACATGGAGGAGGAGGTTGAGGAGGAGGCGGAAGAGGTTGATGAGGATGAGAAGGAGGAGGACTAGGAGGAGGAGGAGGAGGAGGAGGAGGAGGAGGAGGAGAAAGAGGTTGATGATGATGAAGGAGGAGGCGGAGGAGGAGGAGGAGGTTAATGAGACGACCAGTGCAAACCCAAGGCTCATCAACGATGTTGGAATACACCCTCCCTCCAAGCTCCATTTCATAGGCCCCTACAAGGGTTCGTTTCCACTGAGGTGCGTGGTTGGTGGACAACCGTGTGAAAATCTTCACGCGTGCCAAGACACCATTCGCAGGACTTCAACGCCACGAGTCGACCTGACTGTTGCGTCTTGACGATCCTGAATCTTGCCAGCGCACCATTCTCGGGACCTCGACACCGCAAATCAAAAAACCCGGCGCGCCCCGACAGTCCTGAAATTTAACCATGCGAACCAATAAAGCTCTTGCAATTGTTTGACACGAATGTGCGCGACGCTAGGGCGGGAGCCACATGTTGAAAACGAATCCGTTAAACATTTGCACATTTGGACAACGAATGTGCTCGGCGCAAAGGCGGGGGCTACATGTCGAAAACGACCTGTCCTCAATCCGTGAAGCTCTTGCACACTTGTACAATGAATGTGCGCGGCGCTAGAGCCACATATTGAAAATGACCTGTCCTCAACCCGTGAAAGCGGTGTAAATGTTTGCCATGGCTGCGCGTGGCGCCAAGGCGAGAGCCACATTTTGAAAACGACCCGCCCTCCATCTGTGAAACTGTTGCCGGTTGCGAAGCTTCAGTTTCATAAATGGTAAGGAAGTCTCAGGCGAAACACCCAGCCCGCCCTTCCGAGTGGCCTCGGGGTGTGACAGGGAGGAGTTATTCATAAGGGAATGGAATGGAGGAGGAGGAGGAGGAGGAGGAGGAGGAGGAGGAGGAGCAGGAGGAGGAGGACGAGCAGGAGGAGGTGGAGGAGGAGGAGGAGGAGGTTAATGAGGATGATATTGAGGAGGTGGAGGAGGAGGAGGAGGTTAATGAGGAGGAGGAGGAGGAGGCGGAGGAGGAGGAGGATGACGAAGAGGGGCAGTCTGCCTGCTCATCCGCCCGTCCTGTCGTCCGTCTGCCTGCCTGCCCGCTCCGCCCTCTCCCTGCCTCGGGGCCCGCCGCTCGAGCTCCCTGCCCCGCCCCTCGGCTCGCCCCCTGCCGCGGCGGCCGCCGGGCAGGCCGAGTCCCCGGGCTTCGTGCACGAGCTGCTGCCCAGGCCGCACGGGGGCGACCTCCAGGGCCCCTCCTGCCCTCGACGACGCGCAGGGGCGACCCTTCGCCGGAGTGGCCTCCGGTGCGGGCTCGTCGGGGCCCCGTCCGATCGCCGAGCGCGATGCGCCGGCGGCCGCTGGCGCGCTCGCTTGGATTTGGCCACTCTGCGCCCCGTTTGCTCCGCGCACGGAAGGTCCTTCTTGCCTAGGGTCACTCTTGCGTGTAGCCGAGGCGCCCTTCCAGAAATCTCGACGCTCCAAAAATATGGCGGCGGCATTGGATGAGGAGCGTCTTCCCGGGGCGCAGACCCTGGCGTATTCCTTCTTGTCTTAAGGCGAGGTGGGCGGCCCGCGTTTGGCCGCCCGTCGGTTTCTCATCGAAGGCCTCCTTCTCTGAAGCCTCCACCAACAATCGGAGCGGACGTCGTTTTTTGCTGAATTTCGGCCTCCGATGGGGCCCTCGCATGGCCTCGGGACCGTCAGGAAACGGCTCGGGACGACAGGGCGGCCCCAGGGAAGGGGCCAAGACCTCCAGGGGCCACGCCTCGAAGCAAACGGAGCAGCCAGACGTCTGGGCCCCCATCCGTCCTCCCGGGCCCCATTCGCGTCGCGAAACCGTCGCGACGGAGGGTTTTTGGCCAGTCTTCGGCCTCTGCTGGCCCTCGTTTACCCCCGGCTGCCGAAGGGCGACTCGGGAGACGAAGATCGACGACACGTAGGAGTGACCCTTCGCCGGAGTGACCTGTGGTGCGGGCCTATTGGGGTCCTCCGATCGCCGAACGCGATGCGACAGTAGCGTCTTGCGCGCTTGTGTTCAGTCCCCCCGCGGCCCCCCCAAAAGCCGCACACCAAAGGTCATGCTTACCCAGGGTCACCCTTGCGTGTAGCCGAGAAGAGCAAGTGCTGGGGAAGGGATCCAGACCACTGGGGAGCCGCGTTGCGAAAAAACAAGGCTTGGGACGTCCGGGCTCCTTCTCTCCCCGCTCCTTCCCTTCCCCCCCTCGTTCCCCGCGCGCGCGGAAGAGCATGGGGGTAGTGGCAGGGAGAGGAGGGCTGGAGAGGCAAGCGGGAAACGAGAGGATCGAGGAGGAGGAGGAGGACAAGGAGGAGGAGGAGGAGGAGGATGAGGGAGAGGAAGATGAGAAGGGACGACGGAGGCGCTTACGACAACAACGACGACAACGCTGGTGGTAACGATGACGATGACAATGACGATGGCGATGACGACAATGACGACGATGATGATGATGATGGTGATGCTGCTGCTGCTGCTGATGATGATGATGATGATGAGTATGATGATGAGGACGTTGATGATGCTGATGCTGATTATGTTGATTATGGTGATGATTATGGTACCGATGATGATGATGATGATGATGATGATGATGATGATGATGATGATGACGATGATGATGATGATGATGATGATGATGATGATGACTGCGATGCTGATGACAATGATGATGATGATGATTGTGATGATGACGCTTATGATGACGGTGACGATTATGTTTATGCTGCTGATGGTGGTGACTACGATGATGGTGACGATGATGATGGCCATGCTTATGGTCATGATGATGATGGTGATGGTGGTGATGATGACGATGGTATTGCTGATGCTGCTAACGAGGATGCAATGCTGGTGGCGGCGATGATGACGTCGACGGCATCGACGCAAATGCTGATGCTGATGATGATGATGATGACGCTGCTGCTGCTGATGATTTTGATGATGATGCTGCTGATGTTGCTGATGCAATGGCGATGAAGGTTCTCGTTAGTATGATGGGGATGTTGATTATTGCGGCGATGATGATGGTTGATGATGGTTGATGATGATGGTGAGGGCTCCTATGATGGGATAACGATGGTGGTGACGATGACGTCGGCGGCGTCGTCGACGATGATGGTGATGATACTGATGATCATCATGATCAGGATGATGATGATGATGATGGTGATGCTGATGATGATGTTCATTATGCTGATGGTGCGCTGCTGATGTGTGTGTGTGTGTCATTGTGATGATGGTCTTTGTTTTTAGTATTGAGGGGTCCTGTTGGTGGTGATGACGATGGTCGTGCGTGTGATGCTGCGGATGGTTATGATGGTGGTGATGAAGAGAGTGGCGGTGGTGATGATGATGATGATGATGATGACGACGATGATGATGGTTATGATGATGATGATGATGATGATGATGATGATGATGATGATGATGATGATGCGGATGCTGATGCTGATGATGATGATGGTGTGGTGGTGATGACGACGTCGAAGACATCTGCGATGGCTATGATGTCGATGACGTTGCTGGTGATTCCTATGATGCTGATGCTGCTGAGGGCAATGATGATGGTGGTGGTGACGATGATGTTGGCGATGATGGTGATGTTGGTGATGACGGTGCTGCTGTGTTGGTGATCTGGTAATGGTTATGGGGGGGCATTATGGTTCTGCGGATGTTGAGGGATAGGACGATGCGGAGGCCAGGGGGAGGTGGAGGAGGAGGATGAGGAGGAGGAGATGGAGGAGGAGGAGGAGGTTGAGGTGGAGGAGGTGTATGCAGAAGGGGTGGCAGACAAGCATTGGGAGGACGGGGAAGGCGAGGGACGGCGGCGATGATTGCGATGACGGTGACGACGACGGTGCTGGTGGTGGTGGTGGTAGTGGGGGTGGTTTGATGAGGACGCTGTTGTGTTGCTGGTGGTAGTGGTGGCACCTGTGAGAAGATTATGATAATGATGTTAATGATGAAGATGGTGCTGATGCCGATGATGATGCTGTTGATGATGATGTCGATGGCGACACGAGGGAGGAGGAGGAAGAGGAGGCGGAGCAAAAGGTGGAAGAGACGAAGAAGTAGGTGACAGGGGGGGGGGGGGTAGGAGACGGAGGCGGGACGACGCCGACGACGGTGGTGATGATGATGGTGATGATGAGGGTTCCGAGGATGGGACGACGATGGTGGTGACGCTGATGTCGCCGACGTCGGCGAGGATGATGAGGTTTATGATAATGCGGGTGATGTTGATGTTGCTTCTGAGTAGGATGATGTGTTGCTCATGTTGTGCTGGTGATGATGATGCTGATGATGATGATGATGGTGATGATGATTGTTATTAGTAACAAGGGACGAAGGGCATTCTGGTTATGATGATGACGACGCTGACGATGATGATGGTGCTGATGATGAGGATGATGGTGAAAGTGACGATGATGCTGATGATGCTGATGCAGACGCTGATGCTGATGCTGATGATGATGATGATGATGATGAGGAGGAGGAGGAGCACGAGGAGCAGGGAACAGGAGGAGGAACAGGCGGAGAAGCAGGAGGCAGAAGAGAAGGAGGAGGAGGAAGAGGGACGACGACTGCGACGGTGGTGGTGGTGGTGAGAATGATGTTGATGTTGGTGGTAATAATGGTGGTTGTAGTGATTCGGGTGATGATGATTTTGGTGATGATGATGATGATGATGATGATGATGATGATGGTGATGATGGTGATGATGGGGTGATGATGACGATTATGATGATGACGATGATGATAATGATAATGTTAAGGATGTTGATGACGATGCCGATGATGACGGCGATGACGATGACGATGCCGTTGACGATTTCGGTAATGATGATGCTGATGATGGTGATGATGATGACGAAGCGTATAATGTTGACGGTGAGTTTATGATGATTGTGGCGATGATGACGTCGACGACATCGACGATGGTGATGATGATGGCGATAGTGATAATTTTGCTGCTAATGCTGATGCTGACGATGACGATGGTGCTGATGTGTTCGTGATGATTTTGGTGGTGAGGTTGAGTATGAGGAGGAATCAATGGATGGTGTTGGTGATGATGATGATTCTGAGAAGCAGGAGGCGACGGAGGGCAGGGGAGGAGGAGGAGGAGGAGGAGGAGGAGGAGGAGGAGGAGGAGGAAGAAGAGGAGCAGCACCACCACCGCCGATGGCAGCCGATGGCCGCCGCCGCCGCGCCGCCAGGGAGGGCACCCCGCTGCGCCTCGGGCTCATGAAGGCCACGCTCGCGGCGATCTCGGCGCCGCCGTCGCCGGCGGCCCCCGCGGCGCCTGCGGCGCTCGGCGACCGGCCGCGGCCTCGGCGCCGCCGCCCCCGCCGTGCGTCTGTGGGGATGTGCCGAGCGTCGCGCGCCGCCGTCGGCCTCGTCCTCGGCCCCGTCCTCGGCCCTGTTCGCTCTCGTTCGGGCAGTGGCGAAGCGTCCTGGCTTGCCTAGAGGCCCACCGAGGAGTGCTCCAAGAACTTCTTGTGATTTGCACGACGTGTTAGGACATTTCTGGCGGAGACTGTCTTGTTCGAACACATAGGTATTCCATGTGAACTCGCTGTGGCGTAGTAGGACAGGCGCGTCGATCGTGAATCGGCCTGTCAGCGGGTGCCCCGCAGAACTCCCCGAGGCCCCGATGGCCCCAGTGTCCCGTTGGGATCCTGGGGCGCCCTGTGGAGTTGTTGGCAGCAGGAGCGTCCCCGAGTTCCCTACTCGTCGGCCGTTCAAATGAGACATTTTCGGAGATCCAGATCCCGATCTACGCTAGGCGCCTGCCTACTTCAAGAGTCTGGCGCTTTTCCATCTTCCCTCCTCTTCAGGGGGTTGGCGGAGGCCCGATCTATTTCCAACGCTTTCCTTCCCCATGTTTCTACCCACTTCTTCCGACTGACGGGTACACCCATCATAACGAAAATAAAACCATTGTCATTGCCTCCACATGAAGCCCAAGAAAATCGAGAACCTTGACTGGACCCTGGGCGTTTTATGGGAGCTCTCCCTTTCGTGACATTGCCATCGACCTGGGCCTCGAGTACTGTTTGTGAGTCTTGGAGTGAAGTCGTTAGTCATAGCTTCGATCATTCTAACTTGTATACGCTTCGCGGATCCCCGCCCAAACAGAAGCCCTGCCCACGAGAGCTGACGGGAAATGGAAAGCAGAGACGCATATAGTGAAACAGAGCGGTCAAAGAGCGGAAGGGGGAGGAACGTGTTGAGCCATCTTGGAGGCTATCTTGGAGCATCGGAGGCCTTCTTGGAGCTATGGGGCTGTATAGTGGGATATTGGGGTCCTCTTGGAGCTCTTTTGGGGCATCTTGTGGCCCTCTTGGGGCTCTTTGGGGGTCTCGTGGTCCTCTTGGAGCTTGTTTGGGGCGCCTTGGGGCCCTCATAGGGCCCTCTTTGAGCTCTGCTCTCTTGGGGCTCCTTTGGGGGCCTCTTGGGAACCCTGGAGGGCCTCTTGGGGCGCTCGTGGAGGGTATCGGTGAAAAGAGGGGGGTGGTCCTAACGTTTGCCCCCCCCCCCCCCTCCCCCTCTGGGGCCATCAAAATAGCGTCTTAAGACGCTCTTGGGCCTCTCTTGGGGCGCTCTTGGGCGGTCTTGGGGCCGTCTTAAGACGCTCTTGGGGCCTTCTTTGGGCCTCTTAGAGGCATGGTGTTAGCTACCTTGAGCCATGTTGGGCTATCTTGAGCGATCTTGGAGGCCATCTTGGGCTCTCTGAGGCCCTCTTGGAGCCATCTTGGGCCATCTTGGACGCCCTGACCGCTCGCGACCCCCGTTCAGGTTCAGGGGAGGGGGTAGGGGGAGGGGTAAACCCCTCCCCGAAGGGCAAGGTGGGGTTCTTTTGGAAGAGGGAAGAAAGATCTCGTCAGACCGCCTGTCGCCCAGAGGGCTGGCGGGATTTTAGGAAGGGGTGTACCGCAAAGGTTTTGACCTTCGTGCGCATGCGTGCGCCAACCGACACGATCATCTCCATCCACCTCTGGTGCCCAGTCCTGCAGCGAAGTGTTTTGTGTTTTTCTTTCTTTTCCTCACTGCGTGGGCCCCCCAAAGGTCCCGAGCTATTTCCCGACACCAGGTCTTCATCTCGAGTTCTGGAAGCCGAAAGCAGCCGACAGCATACCGCCGTGATTTGTTTACGACGCGACGGGGTGGGCCGAAGAGGCAACAGAGCATGACAAACATAAGCGTTCGGAGCTCCGTGCGGATCTGCCCTGGACCTTCCTGGCGGCGCCGATGCAAGCTCGTGTATAGGGGGTAGCTCGCGCTATTTTAGTAGCTCGAGAATGGTTGCAGCGGCTGGGCTGCAAGACAGGGCCCATCGGAATACGTTGAACGGACGAATGAGGCCACGTCGCGTTTTTAATTGGGCGCGTCGCTTTTCAAATCCAGATGCGCGCGCCATCGCAACTACTCCCCACGCTCGCGCGTTCGCAAGGCGCTCATCGGAATTCGCTCAGACCGCGACCGCCCCGCGATTCTTGCAACGGCAACCTGAAACGATGTTGAACGCTTCTTTGTTCCGCAGCCTCAAGAACAAGCGCCGCCCCCAAGCATTTCTGCACGAGACCAGGAGGGGCATCGCAGTTTGGCTCTGTCTCATGTAGTAGCATGGCTACGGGTAAGAGCAAGGAACAGCGCAAACGCAACATCTATGAGACGCGAGACTCGACTAGGCAGAATGGGGCACATCTAGAGGCACATCGCACGTTGAGCAGAGCAGCGTCGGCATGCAGGCGCGCCCCTGCGCGCTGCGGGCGGCACTGGCACATGCAGGCGTGCGCTTGCACACGCGCGTCTGCATCTTGAACGCGCGCGAAAGCGCGCATGCGCGCGTGCGCGTGCGAGTGAAAGCGCGCACGCTTCTATGTACTTGGGCGCGCGCGCGTCTGCGTCTGTCGATTCGGACGTCGCTTGCGTCGTAGATGCGGGCCCTTGCAAGCGCGGGCGCGCCCGCGCACGCGCTCGCGGGCGGGCGCCGTCTGCATGCTGAATACGCGCATGGTTGGTGCCCGCATGTTCGGCGTGCGCGAGGGCGCGCGCGCATATGCACGCATGTCGAAGCGCGCGCGTGCTGGCGCGCCCAATGGCGCGCGCGCTTGCCTTCGCCATTGTAGGCGAGCGGACGGAGTTCACATCTTGCCGACTTGGAAAGGAGCGGGCGCAGGCATGCGGGGGCGCGGGCGCGCCTGCGCACACAGCGGACGTGCGAACGGCGCCTGCATTCTGACATTCCACATGGGCCGCCGCTCGCCGCCCGCCGCACCGCCACCGCCACCACCACCACAACCACCCGCCATCCGCCACCTACCACCCACCACCCACCACCCACCCACCCACCACCCCACCACCACCCACCACCCAGCACCACCCACAACTCACCCACCACCACCACCACACCCACCAGGACTACCCAGCACCACCCAACACCACCCAGCACCAACCAGCACCACCCCGCAACCACCCAGCACCACCCAGCACCATCCAGCACCACCCTGCACCACCGAGCACAACCCAGCACCACCCAGCACCACCCAGTACCACCCACCACCACCCACCACCACCCAGCACTCACTACAACCCACCAACACACCATTGCCCACCACCACCCACGTCTTCCCACCACCCACCACCGATCACCAACACCCACAACCACTACGCAACACCAGCCACCACTGCAACCCCACCCTCCACCACCCACTACCCGCCCACCCACCACCCCCCACCCACCATCACCCACCAGCACCCACCAGCACCAACCAGCAACCAGCAACCGGCACCCAGCACCCACCACCACCAACAACACAACCACCACCACCACTACCACCACCCCCACTACCCCCACCACGACGACGGACGACGGACGACGACGAGGATGACGACGGCAGCGACGGAAACGGCGGCGGCGAAGGCGGCGAAGGCGGCGACTACGACTACGACGACGACGACGACCGCGAGCACCGCTACCACGACGATACCCGAGGCGACGGCGAACACACCGACGGGGCCCAGACTGGCTGGACATCGAAGTGCGTGCGGGGCTTCACCAGATGTATGCTCGCCGGTTGGGCTGGCCGCGGGGCCCCAGCGACGAGTTGCTTTGTGATGTATGAGGGGCGTGCGATGGGTGGTTCGACTTCTGAGGCCCTTTCAGCCCCTAAGTTCCAAAAATCAGCAAGACGCTGTTCCATGATTGGGAATGCTGCGTCTTGGGGCCGTCTTGGGCAATCTCCGATGCTGTGGGGGGGAGGGGGCAGTCTTGACGTGACGTGTCGGAAGGTTCGGCATCTTTGTATCGAAACGTGGGGCATGCAATGAGCATTGCACACATTATGCGTTTCATGCGTTCGCCATCGCGGGGGCGTCTTGTGGCCCTGCTGGGCCACTTCGGAAACATCTGGGAAACACATTCGGCAATGTTCGCTCATCTCGGGCATCTTCGTCCGTCTCGGATGGTGAAGGGGATGGGGGGGCATTACTGCTCATCCTTCCCTTCCTCATCCCGGATTCCTCCTCCCTCCTCCCCCAACTCCTCTTCCTCCTCCTCTCCGCCATCATGATAAAAATCATCATCGTCACACTCATCATCATCATCGTCGTTATTATATTCCTCCGCATCCTCCTTCTCATCATCATCATCATCATCACCAACATCGTCATCATCATCATCATCATCATCGTTGTCGTCGTCGTCACCGGCATCATCATCATCATCATCATCATCATCATCATCATCATCATCATCATCATCATCATCATCATCATCATCATCATCCTCATAATCATCATCATCATCATCACCACCACCATCATCATCATCATCATCATCATCATCATCATCCTCATCACCATCACCATCATCAGCATCATCATCATCACCATCATCATCGTCATCGTCATCGTCATCGTCATCGTCATCGTCATCGTCATCGTCATCGTCATCGTCATCGTCATCGTCATCACCACCATCATCCTTCTGGGACCCTCTTGGGCCCATCTTGGAGCCCTTTTGGGGCCCACGAGGGCCCCAAGATGGGCCCAAGAGGGCCCAAAGAGGGCTCCAAGAGGGGCCCAACGTCGGTCACGCGAGAGAGCTTTCGCGTGACCGATGTTGGGCCCCTTTCGGGGCCCTCTTGGGCCACTCTTGGGACCCTCGTGGGACCCTCTTGGGGCCTTTTTGGAGCCATCTTATGGGCCAACGAGGGGCCCAAGAGGGCCCTAAGAGGGCCCCAAGAGGGGCCCAGTGGAGGTGGATTAATCCAAGGCGGATCCTCCTCCTCCTCCTCCTCCTCCTCCTCTTCCTACT